CCATAAGGAAGTGGTAATGTTTTTTAAAAAAAAACAGGTAAAATAAATCAATGTAGCATAGCTCCCTTCACTTTGGTAACTCAAGATAAAGCAGGGCTCCTGCAGATCCTTCAGAGTATTAAATTTGATTTGAAATATTAAGGTCATAAAATGTCATTTTTATTCATGAGATGTCAAATTTTGAGATGATGCTTAGGCTACCTGAGACATGTCTGAATACTTTTTGAATCATCAGCTCCTGCTGAGACTTTACAGATGGTATACAAGTATGTACAAATAAAAGGAATTCAGCCCAATACCAATCCTGTAATAAATCCCATTGTAATGAACATGATAATTAGTTTTTGTTTGAGAGGTGAGGTTTATGGCTTCTGCTGGTGTTGAATTGCTTTGTGTTATACTGAGGGATGTTTTTATAAGTTGTCTGCCCGGATTATATCAAGGTGGAGTGTCAAGAAACAAACTACAACCTCAAAAGTGAAACATCAAATTTAATTAGCACCTCTTTAGAAAGGTTTCAACAAAACCTGAACATTATAACTATCATGAGGGGGGATTTTCTGTGTAACTGTTACATTACTCTGTATTAATTTATGTTAGTTACTAAATTGGTAACTGAATGTACTGTATGTAACATAGATGTTCATAAAAATGTGTCTGTTTACCACTTGGCTGTTGATCTACAAGTTACCAAAACCATACATGCTGTTCTTTCCATGATACATGATTATGTTGTCAGACCCATAGTCTGTGTGGTCACACCAGTAATTGTCATCTAAATAAGCTTTTGGTTTAAAGCATATATCCTGTGTGTTATGCATACATGGGCCATATGATCATGACTTTCTTTGACATGTTATTTTATTTGAATGAAAAATGGTTACACATGCTACACTTGTGTGTTTGTTCTGCTGTGGAGCTGATTTTATTTTTTCTGTTTAGGTCATAAAAAGGTCCTGAATTTGATTTTTAAAAGTGTACAGCAACCCTGTAGAGGACAGACCTTATTATTGTAGCAACATCTCTCATTCTCTTTATTCCACTGATGTGGCAGAACTTGGGTTCTTGGCAGAGGTGAATCATCTGAGCAAGAGGATTATATATGTGTTGTGACAGTTAGTATTTTGCATCAGTTTCAGCTTTGTTGAACTCTGACCAGCAAATAACTGTCTTGACAACACTGACTTTGGATGGGGCAGAGAGCCAGGAGCTTTATTTTGCTGCTTCCGTTTACCACGTCCATCTTCAGTAAGTTTTTATTGAGCAAAATTGGGTACAGTGGTGAATATAATGTCAGATGACGGATAACAAAACGGTAGAGAGAAAACTAAACTCCAGGACTCCAGAGCTATCGGTCTTTGACAATTCTAAATCATTTTTAGAACCAGGCTTTTAGAAATATTTCACAAAAATAGAGATTAATATCGTTGTTTTCTGGTGTGAACAGGCCTTTACCTAAATAAACCATGTTCATGTTGAGATACACAATTGTAGTGCAGTTGTCATTTCTTACCTACTAGAGACTTATTGATGTCACTTTACTTCAAGGCTCTGACCTCATTTAGTGCCAGGTTGGACTCGACTTGGGTGATTCTTTGGTGACTCGGACATGACTCGATCACCGGGGATTGGACTCGGACTTGAGGTTTAGTAACTCAGCTACAACACTGCTGTTAAGATGATGAACCTTTGGTGGATACTCTTGGTTTCAAAAACTTCAATATTTGGGGATTGAGAATTGAGTAAAAAAGCACTGACTTTAGCAGCGGTGTCAAATACGTAACTTGTAATGTAAAACTATGCTTCAGTCTTAGTTTCCCTCAACATGAGTTGACCACACTAAATGATTTGTAGTTGGTGGGTAATTTAAACAAATCGCAGATATGGTGATTGTATCTTTCATATTCTGAATTACTTCTTGTAGTTTTATCATCACTACCCATTCGGTACTGTATATTCTGTTGGCTGCCCCACCATGGGTGTGTCATATGGGTTTAGAGCTCATAATCTTCTTGGCACCTATGACTGGCCTGATCACACCACAGTGTGGAAAGAGGTGCAAACAGAAACATGGTCACTCAGCAGAGTTTTCATGCAGTCTGAAATGTGCAGTGAATATGCTGCCTGACTGTTGGTCCTCTACAGCCACTGTTTGTGTAGTGCTGCTTCATTTTCTTGACATTGATCAGTTTCTTGAATTAAAGCTGCTATTTGGCATCAAATCATGTATTTGTATAAATGTGTTTGCATATACTGTAGATAGCAAATGTTATTGTTGTTAAAGCAACTTTGAAGCTTAATGAGTACATAAAATGTAGAGGAATTCAGGGCTATTCAGCAAGCCTCTCTGAAAGCATTAAAAATACTGAAATTGATGGGATTCCTACAGGACATTAGCTTGAATGACGCCACTGCAGAATGATAGTCATTAGATCTCTGAAGTGAGATTCTGAAATGGATGTCTTGTTGCTTGAATCAGCATCGAGTTGCACTGCTGCATCTTCAGGGCTTTGTTTTCAGATGCTTGCTTTCTCTTGATGCGTTGGCAAGGTGTGTCTTAACTGTCTGTGAAAGTTTACTCAAGCTGCCTATTTTGATGCAGAACCAATGAGGTGGATATCATGCTAGCCTTTTTGCCTGTTCATTTTGTCTGTTCAAGACACCCATTTATGAACTCAGTTTAAGCTAATATGTGATGTACTGCCTGTGTTTGGTAACGCACAAAATAACAAGCAAATGAAGAATTTCAGGAATAGGGATCCTATTCAATTTAAGTTGCAGAAATAGACTAGGAGAATAGTCAAGAATGTTCTAAACAACTGTCCTGTGTTCATTTGGTTCTCTCTCATTAACTGGCTTTGAAGAACAGAAATTAAACATTTGACAGATTAGATTATACATTCTCTATCTTTTTTTGCTGAATTCTTTGGACAAATAGTTCATGACTCGGAACAAGCTCTACTGTGTTTAAAAATTATTAATAACTACAGAGGTTAGTTAGTTTCATACATCTTGGTCACATTAACAGTTTAGCACTCCAATTCCTTCGGCTCTATGGTTGTTCCACACTCCAGTCCAGCAGGTGGCGCCTTAAGATGGTTTGCAAACTGCCAATAAACAACTTAAGAAGAGGGAGAAGATACTGTTTGGCATAGTTATGTCTCCATTTAGCCAGCTTAGCATCTGTTGATTAATAATATAAACCTGTCTCTGTCTGTCTGATATCAAGGTGTAGTACAGCTTGCGGATGAATAGCTTAGCAAAACACTGGAAACCAAACATTAGGCTTTTTCTAAAAATTAAACAAAGAAGTCATAGCATATTAAATAGTCAGCTTCAGAGATTCTGGTTGCTGATTTTGTTATATTACAGGAAAGAGCCAGGCTAGCTGCTTTCTGCTGTTTCCAGTTGTGTTGAGTTTAGCTAACTGGCTCTAGGCTTGTAGCTTCATATATAATGAACAGGTATGAGAGTGGTACAGGTATCAACCTTCTTAATTAACTCTCAGCAAGAAATTGAATGGGCATATTTACAACAATATCAAACTATTTCCTTAAATATATATTAACTAGAAGAGAACCAGCAGTTTTAACTCGTGCACTAACAGTTACAAAGACTAGACAAAACACTAGCATATTTGGATGCATAATTTTTTTTTAAATATATCTTTTATAGTGCCATAATCAGTCATTTCCATGTGATCTACTAGAAGTAACATGCACAAAATTATTATCATGATGGTAAAACATAAAGACAGCACTAAAATGTGCTGTCATGCAACCAGCTGTATTCACAAAGCTACAACATGTGATATAGAGCCCCTTGTGTTGTGTTTGTTGATATAACACACCTGTGGCTGGCAGGTACACTCAAAAGATGGGGATTTTCAAAAGGTATATAAACTGAGAAATGCTCACAGTGTCTTGGCAATGTTTGAAAGGCTCATATTGTTACTATCAGTGAGTCCCAAACCAGTCAATAGTCTGTTTGTCCAAGTACTGTAGGTGTGAGTTGGAGTGAAATTGCCACTGCGTTCTGGTACAAAGCTGCAGATCTGTATCTCTTCTAACATGTCACATGTTGAGTGTTTTTGCCCAACTGAAGTTTTAGTTTCAGATAGTGGAACTGTGTGGTGTGTAGCTCAGTATAGTAGCTCAAGTTTGTGTCTAGCATACTGTAGCTTCTCCACATTCCCAGACTTTATCAAAGTCCTTTGGCTTCTGTTTTTGCTTCTATACAACCCACAGAGTCGGACAAAAGTAACTTTTTAAATTTAGAAAATAGTATGTTGGTTTGCCAAAACCTTTTTTATCCTACCATTACAAGAGCAGTGGAGCACATAAAGTTGTGGCAGTAACAAACCAATGAAATTCACATTATTGTTCCCACGCAGCATTTTTCATTCTCACTGTTATTGCAGTTTGCTCTCTTATTTTCTCTTGTTTTACTTTTGCTCTTTTCTAATGTTAAGAGTACACCACCCAGTATTTATTGTTGTAATCTCTTGTGGATGGGACAGTATATCAAAATTCAACATATTGCAATAAAAAAAGTCACTATGTATCATTTTGTCTAGCAATATATATTGTGTGTTCTCCATATGGCAGCAAATCCACATTTTTTGTAAATAAGAACAGAATGTAAGTCAACATATCAGGTTGTTTTTACATAATCATATCACTGCTAGAAAGGGGGTGGGATAATGTACAAGTATTCCACAAATAGTCATACATTATCATTACATTGTTTACTTTGCTGTGATTTGATTCTAAATTGACATGGAATATTCATGTTATAATGAAAAAGCTTTATTAAAGACATCCTGTCCTTTGACATGTTTTTCATGACACAATATATGCATATAAAACATGTTATACAGTTCACTTTATTTTTTGTTTGATTTATTATTGCATACATAATCTGTGGAAAAAGTTTGCTTCTGATTTTGCTTTGAAAGCTCTTTCAGTCATATTTCATTACCATTTGTTCTGTTTTCCCAGCCTCAGAGCCAGTTGGCGACAGAAACAGTGGGCAGAAGTCAAGGAGGAGTCCTCTACAGACGCTTTATGATGGTGACCAGGTCAGTCTCTAACCACTAACTTTGCTGCAAATAGTCTGTAGTATCACTCCCTATAAAGACTAAGCCAAAAACCATTTTCCCATAAACAGTCAGTGGAAAAGGAGAGGACAAACTAAAGGCACAGAAGTTCCCCCATTCTGGATGTTGTACTAATGAAGTCAGCATGTATGAAAATCCTGCAGTTTCGTCTAATTACACCAGGCACTAATATATCTAAGTATTATTAACTATACAGGATGAAAAGCAGCTCTGAAAAATTGTGAGCATAATAAGGTGACGCACTTTCCATCCAAAGTCAGGAGTCTGCCAAGTCACCAAGTACCAGCCTGAAACTCTAAACATATAGTATGTCAAGGGATTGCCAGTGCTAATAGCTAATTCTGACCCATTAACTAACCAGGAGGTTTCCCTCTAGAACTGTGTGTGCAGTTTATGGCATAAAAACAACCATTCATGTTGATCTGCCCGTATGTTCTCAGTCATTTTGGGTTGTTTTCTCTCCTCATTGTGCTCACTGATGATGAACCCACGTGCACTAATGCCATGTTAGCCTTTTACGGTCGCCGGTGTCCATAAAACCATATGATTAACTTGGCCGCACTGATAAAACAATACAGCTTGCACTAGAAAGCTCTTAAATAATTGTAGTCCTAGATATTTCTATACCCTTTTATCTGAGCTATGATATGCGATGTGGTTTTTGCCTTCCAGATGAGCTCACTAAGCTCAGAAATGTCATCTATAAAACACTGCACTGTAATCCCCTCATTTTGTGATGAATGGTGAACTGATGGAATGACTTTATGATCGCAGACAAATAGATGCTTCACATCCTGTTTTTCAGATCATTTTTCAGAATGCCATATCAGCATCATCAGACGTTTTCAGCCATTGGACGTTTGTTAATGTTTTGAGAAGGCAGTGGGCTGACGAGCGCTGCCATGAAGCCTAATGTAGTGCCCATTTGTAGCAGTGTTGACTTTTTCATGAGGTTTACATTATTTTGTCTGTCCTCTGTATTGCATCGATGATCAACTGTATCATTGTGTGACTTGTTAAGCAGACGGTTGGGAGAAGAATACATTTCAGCTGTCAGCATCTTAAATACATCTGTTTTTCACCTGCTCTTATAAACCTGTCTCAGTTGAACCTAAAGAAAAATGTCTTCTTCTCTGAGTAACGAAGTGGCAGACAAAAATCACCCCTGATGTTTGATGTTTGATGTTTTCATAGTTGTGAACATTTGCAGATCAAGTACTGCCTTGATATTTTATTCTGCAGAAGAAAGGTCAACCATCTTTGTTGGATTACACCAGTGACATTTATTGAAGAGGATTCATGGGTTTGTACGGGCAGTGTCAGACTGCAGACGATTAAGTGCTCAGTAATTTCAGTGCTGCTATTGATGAGGGCAAGAGAGAAAATATGATTATATAACAGCAAAGGGTCTGTAAATGCAAGATTTTATTTTTAGCTTTTTTCAAATATAGCTTACTGAGTGTAGATTAATGAGTAAAAATAGCATTTTCATCCATTTTATAGTTGAATTTCAGAGTGCAAAAAGCAAAAGGGTCTTGACTATAATATAGTGCATTCAGAGCTTCTCCACACTGAGTTTCTTTTCACTTGCCTTACCTGCACAGGCATTTCTTACTTTAATAACAGCAAGTTCAAATTTCACTTTTCAGTCCCTGCTGTGTTTTGGAGCACGTCACATTTGATAACTTGACACTAAACGTAGGTTAACTTATCACAATGCTTTTGTGAAGGCATTTTGCCAATTAAAGGGGATGTTCTCTGACACTCTAGGTTCTAATGGTGTTTTTCTATCATCATGGGTCAGCCTAGTCCTAGCTAAGCCAGGCAGGCACAGGTTAGCCTCTGTTTCCATCTGTTCCTAACAGCGGGGCAATCATCCCGACTCGGGCTCAGCCAGCCGAGTGGTACCAGGCCCCGGCTTCAACAGAGACACGCAATTGGTTGGAATGTTGTGCCAAGGGAACGTCCTTACAATCAGCACTTTTTGACTTTTTATCCTTTATTTTATTGCAGCAAGATTTGAAAATGGAGTCTCTCACATGGTCTTCTGATGAGGGGTTAAAATAATGCCTAGCACCAAGGGCTCCATGTTGCAAGCTAGTAACACCACTGACACCATGAGTTGTGTGTCACTTCTCAGCGGCTCACACCATCCCCACATGATCAAGATTGTAGAAGATAAACAATGTGTTTTATGGTGCAATGGAAACACATCCGTGCAGACCCGAGAGCAGCTCAGCACGGCTCTACTGCACACATCTCGGAACGGACCAGCTGACCCGTACTGATGGAAAAACACTATAAATAGGCACTTTCTCTGTATAACTGAACACTTTTGTTTTCTGATATTTATACAGAAGCAGCTTTGTAACAGTTGTTTCCTGTTAAATATCTCTCTGAGGAGAAGGAAGGTGTACATGCCAGAAAACAAACAGGCTCCAGCAGACATCACTGACACTTAATGGCTTGCAGTACTGTCTACACTCCATTCCGTTTGAACACTTCCTCAACAGAAGGAAGCTGCTAAACAGTCAGGATGGAAACAGGCTGTGAATTAGATGAATGCAAGATCATTCATTTTTCTACCGCTTAGTCCCTGAACGGGGTCACAGGGGGGCTGGAGCCAATCCCAGCCGGCAATCAGGCGAAGGCAGGGTACACCCTGGACAGGTCGCCAATCCATCGCAGGGCTAACACAGAGACGAACAACCACACACACGCACGCACACACACACACTCCTATGGGCAATTTAGAGACACCAATCAACCTAAGCTGCATGTCTTTGGACTGTAGGAGGAAGCCGGAGTACCGGAGAGAACCCACACAAGCAAACTCCACACAGTTAGGTCCCGGTTGGGGCCCGAACCCAGAACCTTCTCGCTGTGAGGCAACGATGCTAACCACTGCGCCACCGTGCACCGTGAATTAGATTAATGCAAGATCAGTTTATTTATTTAGGGGCCGGTTCGCACCTTCATTAAATCTCACTCCCTAGAGAGCGCTGTTATAAAATGTTGGCACTGGAGTTTTCAAAATTGGGGTCAGCGATTACAACATTTCAGAAGTAAGACATTTCACATTGAGGTGAAAATGTAAATATCCAGTGCTTTGGTGTTTCTCTTCTACTTTTTAAGATGATGCCCTAAAGATCCCCACCTGATGTTTCAGGAAGCTTTCTGGAGGGCAGTTTTGAAGCTCAAGTCTGGCTGTCACCACCTTGGTAGTGCTTCAGTCCCTCTGCTAATTCAAAAATGGGCAAAAAGGCGGCACGTGAGTGGAGCCCTCCGTCACACAAAATGGACATGTTGTTAATGATGCATAACTTTAAGCCTCAGTATAATTTAAATGGGTGAGTTATATAAAAATTCACCCATAATACATTTGTCATGAAAGGGGAAATTAGCTAAAAAACCCAAATTGTTTTTGTACCAGACCAGGCTGTAAACATGGGGATGAGTCTGTGACAACTGACTCCCTTTTGGAGCCAGCTTCAAGTGGGCATTTGAGGAACTGCAGGTTTTACCATTTCTTCACTGGCGTCATTCTCAGCCTCAGAGGTTGCCATTTGGTTGTGACGAGTCAGCGTGAGTGGCTTCAATCATGTTTCCAGCCTGTGAGTTTCTGTTGTGTTTTGGTAGTGTACTCTATTAGCACAAATTTCTACCGCCAGTGTGTTGGCATTGATAGATAAAAACTGTTTAACATCCAGCAACCTCACAAATGAAAGCGCATGGCATGTTGTTATGGTGCGGTGGGCCAAATTTGAGCATGAATAGCAGTGAATGGTCATGGTAACGTGGTAAACAAAAGTCTTTTTCCTGTAGGCGTCCACATTCTGACTGTCCCCATCCTTGATTGGTCGATGCAGCACCTTGCTGGATGATGCCACCGTGTGGTGCAGAAAAAGTTGAACCCGATCCAATATGTTCGCTGCACAACTGTGGTGAACCCAGTCCCCCATAGAAATAAATGGGGAGGGCTGCATTTTTTTCACACTTTTGAAACCGAATGCAGCCTGAGGGAAATGTCTGGGTCCTCAGCTGCTCTGCAGCTGGAAGCAGTGCCATTAGAATGTATCAAAACTGTTCGATTGTGGGCCATAAAACCAAAACATGAAGCTGAAAGGCACTAAAATGTGCTGTAGAACTGAAGGGATTGGCGGTCAGGTGAACAGTCCGTGGGTCTGTCACTACTTTCACATTACACGTACTCTTGAGTTATTGCCAATTTAGTGCAGCTGTAAACCTTTGTGTAATAAGAAATGAAGCCATACCATAAAACAGATTTTTTTTTTCTTTACCTGGTTTATAGATTTCTTACAAATGATCTTGCATATTGTAGGTTATGTTGCCTATGGTGGGGTGAAAAGCAGGATGTATAGTTTTGGTTACATAGTGAAACTTGGCTTTAAAGTAAGTGCAGATTTTAACAACTTAGGATGACTTTGGTGTTCTCTTTGAATGATGGTGCTGAATCGGGTAGGCTGTTTTTATATAATCTGAAAACTGTACAAAATCGTGCCTATAGTTCACATGGCTAGATTTTGTACAGTCCAAGGTAGAAAGTCATTGTTGTATACATTCTGTACAATAAACAATCTTCTGCTAAGAGAAGGGTCAGTGTTAGCTTTTACAGTCTTTGGCCAGGCCTGTGTATACTTGATGTTCAAACGTGTGCCAGTAAACACTGAGGACCACACATTGTCAGGGACTGAGTCAGACTGAGAGGCTCATGACTCTGGCCACTGCAGTGGTGAGCCAGACTGAGTAAATAAAAGAAGTAAATAAGGTGTTTGTGTCACAAGGAGGCCAAGCTTGATGACTCATCATTTTACTAAGGCAGTATGCAGATGGCAGGGAATGGACCATAATTAGGACCCCCAGAGGAGAGGTATCTAAAAATATATTTTCTCACACTCACAGAACTTCTAGTCATAAGTCTTGGCTATGCAGAATGTGCATGGTATGTGCGCCACGTGCACTTACATGTAATTGAGACACCACTCAGAAAGTGCAGACCTCCACCAAGGCAGCTCAGTTTCCCCATAATGCCATTACACCTAAAAGCGATATTCTCATTGTAGTTTATGGTTTACAATTCCTTAAGCATGAAAACCTACCCCTAGTTTTTGGAATAACAATGATAGCATTATTATTTTGAAAGTTAATCAAGAAAAACTATAGACATGAACAATTACCAAGTGCCACGAACAGCTAAACTCATACAGACTGCAGACTTTAACTCACTAAACCCTCTAGTGACTGAAAAGAAATGAAGTAGAGTAGCTTTACAGTGTAATTCCAATTTATTACAAGGTTGATCTTATTTTATTCATTTTGGTAATCTTCTCTATCCGTTACGCTAAAATTGCACCCACCCAATTGCTGAGATCTGATAACATGATTGCTAAAATGAAACACAAGTCAGATGGTTCACACAGATTTAAACATACCAGCTGTTTTGCCAGTTATGTAAACCACTTTATTTTAAACTAATAAACATCTACACCCAAGTGCGTCTAATCTGTTGGATTTAGAGCTGGAGTGTACAGCACTTTAAGGCTGCAGTGATTATTTTCAGAGAGTTAGCTTTCTCTATGAATGGTTTAAGCATTTGGTCTGTTAAACATCAGAAAATAATGAAAACTGCCCACGGCTTCCATTGCACAGGAACGATGTGCAGTCAAGTGCAGTAAGTTGAAGATGAAGCCTTCAGTCTGTAGACTGTGACAGATGTTTACTGGTAGTTTTGGTAACAATTTTACTGTTTATCTTTGATTTCTCAGCAATCTGAAAATAATCTTTTTAAGTGGGGTAGTGCTTCAGTTTTGTTTTGTTTACAAAGAAATAGTTTTTCTTGCTTAATGCTTTTTTTTTCTTCTCCTTGCAGGTTGAATCAGCAGTACATGCGATCCATCAGGGCCGACGGGAGCTGTTAGAAGAAGCCTGCCACTCCTACACCCGCAAACGCAGAGTCCTCATCCCTGAGGACTTGAAGCACATCATCGTGGACGACCAGCATGGCCTGCTGTATTGCTATGTGCCCAAGGTGGCCTGCACAAATTGGAAGCGTGTGCTCATGGTTCTGACCGGTGTCGCTGGGTCCCTTCGAGACCCGCTGGCAATCCCAGCCAACGAGGCTCATGTCACAGGAAACCTCCGCACCCTGTCAGAGTACTCCACCTCTCAAATTAACCAGCGTCTGCGCTCCTACCTGAAGTTTGTCTTTGTACGTGAGCCCTTTGAGCGGCTGGTGTCTGCATATCGCAACAAATTCACACGGAGCTACAACACAGCTTTCCATAAACGATATGGAACAAAGATAGTGCGAAGGCACAGGCTGGACCCGCAGCCGGAAGCTCTGGAGCAGGGAAACGACGTCTCTTTCGAGGAATTTGTGTATTACCTTGTGGACCCAGCCACCCAGAGAGAAGAGCCCTTCAACGAACACTGGGAGCGGGTACACTCGCTGTGCCACCCCTGTCTCATCCACTATGATGTCGTGGGGAAATACGAGACGCTGGAGCAGGACTCCCGCTATGTGCTGCACCTGGCTGGGGTGGAGGACCAGGTCAGCTTCCCCGCATCATCCAAGAGCACGAGGACTACAGGTGACATGGCAGCCCAGTTCTTCCAAAACATCAGCCCCTTTTACCAGAAGAAGCTGTACAACCTCTACCGTATGGACTTCCTGCTCTTTAATTACTCCATCCCAGCCTACCTCCAGTTTAGATGAGGCTGGGATGTCACTCATCCACAGACTCCACTTGAACTCCTGAAGCCTGGAAAAGTACAGTTTGCCTTTGAGTGGTTTCTCTCTCCGTCAGCCTTACTACACACACTATACTGTTTTAAAAGAAGTACCACAAAGCAGTGGACACATATTCTGATGACAGCTTATTTTTCCAGATGAAACATCAAGCTGAAGGACATCTGTGCGCACAGGAGTACAGCAGGAGGGGACCTTCAGTCACAACTTGAAAGTTTGGGACAAATGAAGGCAATTGACATGTTACTGTAAACCGTGATCCAGTTTATGGCAGTCACGGTCTCAGTGTGTGAAATGCCATCCTCCTTTAATTTCATTTCCGTTTAATTTCTGCTGTTTCATTTTGCACGACCGATTTAAACAGTGAATGTTTGTGCCTTTTATCATAGGCCTTATTTTTTGATTCCAGCAGACAATGTCAACTTTTCTAACTGTGATTTTGTTTATTTTTTGTACTGTAGGAAGATGTTTTTTCTTTATTTATTGTGTTGTTTCTGACTCTACAAAGTCAGACAAACCAAAATAGATAGATAGGTTCTCTCTCAATTTTCAAATAAATGCATTTCATCAAGAATTGAATACTTTGAATACTGGCATTATTAATGTTTTAAAGTCCTGGCACACTCTTATATATTGTAGATATCCTTGTGACTTAGTCTTTTATCCAAATGACAAATCATGGCTGCTAAGATGTCATCTAGAAGTTTTTTTTTTCCCAAATACTGTATGATAGTGCTACAGAGTCCATTCAATCGTGATGTCATAGTGAAAAATAGCTATTATCATCTCTGGATGCTTTCTTCAGATCCATAAAGACAGTCAACTTTCTAAAAGTGCATGCCAAGTGACAAATGCTCAATAATTTGTATACAAAAACAGCACTAAGAAGTATTTGTATTGTCAGTACCTGAAGCACATTAACATTCAGTACAACAGGCTACATTCACTGCCACTGTGCTGCACAAACAAAACATTGTCCAGTAGAAATGTCATATGAACACACAAGACAATTGGAGGCTGGTCACATTTTAAAGGCACACATCTACATAAAATAAACACAAAAAATAGGATTTATATTAATATACAGTCGGTTATACATTGTTATTATTGTCTTAATGCAGACATTTGCAATCTAACATGTAAGAGCTGACAATAGGTGTACAGCTGTGTCAACAATATTGTGTCAAAAAAATACTGTATTTCTACAACGCTTTTGCCTTTATCCACTTCAGACAGATGTTGCAGGCAAGCTGGGTGGTGTGCTGAGATCGAGCCCAGTGAAACTGCAGGAAACGGCATACAACTATCGACAACAGTGGGCTGGCATTATGGAGACTGAAGTGCAAACCAAGTCCGCACTTTCCTCAGGTTGTTCTTTCTGTTTTGAGCCAAGTTGCTTCTACTTTTGTGGCCCCTTATTGACGATGTTAGTATTTGTGCCTTAGCCATGGGCAAGAGGACATTTTGTGCAGAGAAAATATTTTTTGCAAGTACGTAAGTTACATTTTGTGGAGATTTTTTTTTTTTTGTCACACAAATAATGATTTCATTTTAGTGACCAAAAATCTCTTCGCTGCTCAACAAATGGATTTGCTATTGTCCATACAGTGCACAGTAAATGCACAGTATAACCTCTCACTCAGTTTTACCCATTTGCTCTCTGTGTGGTGTTCCCAGACCCTTGGACATCTCTAAACATCTCTGCTCAAGTTTGCCTGCACACGTGCTCAGCTTAGTGTTACAGTATGCTATGTGCCACTCATTTGCGATTGGCTGATTGTTTCCAAATCAGTTGCTTGTAATTCCTCTGCATGTGCTTGTTGGTTGGTTTGTTTGATCATAGTATAACTCAAAAAGTAATGAATGGATTCTGATAAAAAAAATATTTTATAGAGGTGAGGTATGTTCCACTGAACAACTCATTACATTTTGGTTGCTGATCAGGATCATCATCCGGATCCAGGGATTTTTTAAAGGATTCTTCAATTGTATTGTTTTTTGCAAATATTCATTCATTTTGAATTTGATGCCTGCAACATGTTCCAAAAGACTGGGAAAGTTGAGGAATGCTCAAAAAACACCTGTTTGGAACACTCCACAGGTGAACAAGTTTATTGGAAACAGGTGAGTGTCATGATTGGGTTTAAAAGGAGCACCCCAAAAGGCTCAGTCATTCACAAGCAAGGATGGGGCATGGTTCACCACTTTGTGAACAACTGCGTGAGCAAATAGTCCAACGTTTCTCGATGTGGAATTGCAAGGAATTTACGTATTTCATCATCTACAGTCCATAATATCATCAAAAGATTCAGAGAATCTGGAGTAATCTCTGCACGTAAGTACTAGACTGGCCTGCCTGCAGTCCAGACCCATCTCCCATTGAGAATGTGTGGCGCATTATGAAGCGCAAAATACGACAACACAGACCCCGGACTGTGGAGCAACTGAAGCCGTACATCAAGCAAGAATGGGAAAGAATTCCACCTACAAAGTTTTAACAATTAATGTCCTCAGTTCCCAATACACTTATTAAGTGTTGTTAAAAGGAAAGGTGATGTAACACAGTGGTAAAAATATCCCTGTCCCAGCTCTTTTGGAACATGTTTCAGGCATCCAATTCAAAATGAATGAATGAATATTTGCCAAAAAACAATAAATTTTATCAGTTTGAACATTAAATATCTTGTCTTTGTGGTGTATTCAATTAAATATGGGTCAAAAAGGATTTGCAAGTCATTGTATTCTGTTTTTATTTATGTCTTACACAGTGTCCCAGCTTCATTGGAATTGGGGTTTGTATCATGGGAATGTTGCTTTTAGGTGTAATGGCATTATAGGGACAGTGAGCTGCCTAGGCAGAGGTTTGCACTCTCTTGAGTGCTGTCTAGATGTTATAGTACTACATTGGCTTGTATTGTAGGTAAAACTGGGGTGTTGACACTACCCTGCCAGGAACCACATTGTGTTTACAAGCCAGTTAGATTGGACTGTGCCCTGGGTCAGGCTCCAGGACCATATGTGTGCAATTGCAATGCTTTTAAAACTCATTTGGCTTTCTGTCTGAGCACACAGCAACTCTGTGTTAGGTTAAGCAAGGAAAACTTGAGCAGGGATGCTGAACCAGCAAGAAAGACAGAGTGAGAAGGTGTCCAGAGAGCAGGACTGAAACTGAGTGACAGATTCTTATTTCTGTGGATGATAGCTAACCTATAACTGCATTTGTTGATTAAAGAATAGATATTCATATGCTCAAATGAAACGATTCTTCACAGATCGTCTATACAATAAGGTCTTGGTTCTTGCAAAAAATAAACATTTTCTTGTTCTCATATTTTCCTATAGTGCGGTCATTATAGAGGCACAAATGTAACACCATTTTTGTCCTCCCCTTTGTTCTTAACTGCTTTGCTGCATATTTCAACTATTTGCATATAGAAAACAGTACATTCAGGGTGTATAGTTGTATCAGACTCCACTACCAGTTGAACTGACCATCAGAATCAGTCTGAAGCTCAGTGCCAAGAAGCCAGTCCCCAGGAGGTCACCCAGGGCTGTGAGGTAGGGGATGGAGAAATTGTCTGGATCAAGACCCCTTCGCCACAGCCAGCGCACCATCAGGCTGGCCACATACAGCAAAATCACCACCTGGATAATGACAGTAGTTGGATGTGTTTTGAATGAGAGTAGCTCAGACTGGTGGAAAACAAAGACTCTTAGCAAAAAGAACAGTTTTGACCTGAAGCAGAGCAGCAGTCAGGTAGCAGATGATGAATGTGGGTGTCATGGCAACATGGCCTCCCTGCAGGAGATGGATGGTGGCCAGAAAGAGGAGGTGACCTGGGACTACAAGGGTTGCTAGTACTCTGGCTGATTTGGAGTTCACATCTGGACAGAGTCAGCACCAGCACAGATTAACACTGTAGCTCAGCAAGCCCAATCACACACACTACTGAACAAAGTACAAAAGCCATCCAAGGGAACACAGGCCACTGCATGAACACATTCATGCAGTTAACAGTACAAGGCAGGCTATAAAAGCTTTCTGCGTGAATTTGAGTCCATTACAGCATTTAGACTTTCAAAATAGCCTTGACTAGCATTTATCAGGTTGCAGTAAAACTACACAAGACTGATAAATGAAATCTGCTACAAGACACACACACAGACGGTAGCTGATATAAAAACGAGTCATCGCAATTGGCTCTCCTCATGATTGTTTCCTAACACTCATTGCAACACTTGCATGTTAGATCCTTCTGAAAGGCCAGATGCATGAGTGGGGCTTTTCGGATGTGAAGGTTGGCACGTCCGTGGTCTGTGAAAATATTCTTCAAAGTTGAGAATGAGTTTTCACATGTGGCAGAAGAGGCAGCAAATTTTAAAGTGAGTTTCAGCACCATCAACACACTTCGCATGGAAATGTGTTGTATAAAAAATTAGTTTTTCTACAATCCACAGATGGGTGATGGTGGTCTGGCCCCCTCCCTCCCCATGGAGCAGACACTGCATCTGGATAAACACAATGACTCATAACAAGACGTGTGCGGTTTCACTTAACTTCTGATAATGTCCTTGTGTTTCCTAGATGTTTTGCTGGTTTCTGTTTAGCTAAAGAGGCTTTTTCAATAATGAATGCTTTTATTTTGAAATTAATTGTAGTGCTCTAGTTGAAGACCCTGTGAACAAGGACAGACCATGCAGAGCTGACTGGTGGCATCTTTCTTAAACCGATGGTATTAAATTCACATTTCCTATACAGTTGGTTTCTTTCTGGTACACAAACAAGTAACGGTAATACTTTGACAATTTTGGAACAGAGTAGTTTAAGTCTGTCTGAAAGGTCATTGGATTTGTAGCCAGGCACTTTTTTAAAATAAGAAAAGTCTGTCAAGAGTTCATTAAGTCACCAAAAATTTGCGAGCTAAGTTTACAACACCAGCTACCGAGTTGGCTGAGTATTATCAGTGGGGTTTTCTCTACAAGTGACGAGCTTTCAAATCACATGTACTCATTTGATGCATTAATATAAAAATATTGATTAAGGCAGCCTTAATAATACTGTCACGTGTTTGACTTAATGTCTGAGGAAGGACTATACCCAGATACTACACCTTTTAATCATGTATTTTGTTCTGTATCTGACCTGAGGAGCAGAAGGTAATGCAGGGTCCAGGACAGCTGACACTCATTTTAAGTGGAAGAGTTCCAGGAACACCCCAGTAGTGGAGGTAGGTGGACATCCTGCTGGCCTGGATGGCCACCAGATTCCCCCCAACACCTGCATGGACATTGAGAAATACTGACATGACTATTATACAGTTTGTCACAAGTCCTGGCATTTAATTCTATAAACATTCTGTCTTAGGTCAGTTAGGATCACTGCTTTATTTTAAGAATGTGAAATGTCAGAAGAATAGCAAAGAAAAAAGATTTCAGCTATTCTTTCTTTCATCACATTCCCAGTGAGTCAGACTTTTATATACACTTGGTTAGTATTTGGTAGCAGTGCCTTTAAATTGCTTAACCTGGGTCAAACACTTCAGGATGCCTTCTACAAGCTTCTTACAATAAGTTGCTGGAATCTGAGCCTGTTCCTCCTGAAAGAACCAACGCAACTCAGTCAGGTTTGTAGGAATCCATGCTCACACACGCTTTTTCTATTCTGCCCACAAATGTTCTATTCATTTGAGGTCAGGCCTTTGTAATGGCCACTCCAACACCTTGACCATCCTGTCCCTGTGTAACTGGAATGAGAGTTGTGTCTATATACTCGGCACGAGGTCAAACGCGTTCCCAGTTGGCATTGGCTTTTGTCAGGGTTGTCCCTTGTCACCGATTCTGTTTGTGATTTTCAAGGACAGGATACAAGAGGCCGAGCAGTCACTGTGACAGTAAACAAACTTAGAAAAAATGATCACCGTCCAATCAGTAATTTTGCTTCATATCTATTCAGCAGTTATTCCAAACTCACAGGATCCCATGGGGCTTTTTGTTTCTCTGAATGTCTGCTCTGCAAAAGGCAAACTGGATGTTGTGCCATATTCTCCTTCACTGCTCTCCCTCAGGGTGATTTCATTAGGAGCTCAACAAAACCCCTTGGCTTGCAGAGCTTTGAAACATATGAATAATTTTGGACAAAACAGGAGGGGTGTTTCTGGTCAACAGAGCAGGAGGAGAGATCACTCAGTTGGAATTCTAGTGCTCTTCCTGTACTGGCATCACAACATGTGCAGAAATCTTTGGTAGCACTGAGGTTGGCAGAGATGCTGCAGACATGGGAGCCAGTGAATGCATAGTTGGCATTCTGATCAGGCTTGTGGTTTATGTAAAGACCATTGTTATTGCTCTCTACTTAGTATGCTGCTTTGTGGGTAGCAAACTTCGCTCAGTGAAGATCTGGTTCTATATGTCAATCTGCCGTTCCTGAACAGTTCAGATTTGAAGGACTTTAAAAGTGGAACTCAGCCTTTAGCCTGTTACTACTAGACTGCCAGGGTGCAGAGACACCGGGGCACATGACATTAATTAGCAGGAGGCTTTTTAAATGACAATAATGAAGGTAATTATGAAGCTACAAACATTGAGACTGTGGAAACCCCATACCCCCACATCCCAGCTCTGCTTACTCCTCCAGGAAAACATGTCAGTGTTAATTTCTTTGCTTGGAGTATGTGGAAAACATACCAATAAACCTTTCAGCTTCAATTACAGGATTAATATCCACAATAATATCAGTTAGTACTGAGTCACATACAGTCCTGCTAAAATCCACTTTCATTTTACTAAGTGTTTATAAATACCACAATAAAAATCCAACATTTGAAAATATTACCAAAGTATCATCAGAAAAATGTAAAGCAATACCTTTATTTTTGAGTCAATGCCACACAGCTTATCTCTTATGTGTGTTATTTTTTTAGAGTTTTATGACAAATATGAACACACTGCACCACTGATCAGATGTTGGGATGGGAGCTGGGAGCGGATGGAGGGAACAGGAGTTGGGGATATTCATGATGAGGTAGTTAAGGTGTATCTTAAGATGGAAAATGGAAAATAGGTTTATTTTGCAATACTCTGTGTACTTTTGCCACTTCTGTGGTCTAAATAAATGTAAAAGAAAGAAAGGATAACAGTACTCATTATTCAGAGTGGATCCAGTTATTGATTTGTTACTACTGATACATCCAACTGCAAGCAGCAGTTCATGCTGTAGCTGGTCAAGATGTAGCTAATGCTAGTTACTTATTATACTGTTTGGTGGTTTACTCAGTAATAATGCGTCATATCTTATAGAGTAATCCTATAGTTAGTGTGTAAACTCTTACAGGCCTGACACACACTACCCACACTAGTGTTTTCACTTGTGTTGCTTAGTGCTGAGTTTGACTGACATCTCCCTCAGCCTTCTGCTGACTTTGTTGCACCTGTTGGGGTGCAGCAACCTACTATGTTTTCATTCTTATTAATACACAGATCACATAATTCCCAATCATAATGTCATTATAACTGCTTACATTACAATGTAGCATGTTATAAATGAGTGTATCAGGTGATTATAATTCTGCTGAGAAATGCTGAGCAGGGCTGGTCAAAGTTAAGGGTTATCAGTCTGAAGGGGAAGATTACTTATCTTCTACTCACCATTAATGACAGGCGTGAACACTGCCATACCCTCGAAGTTTGGATTGCTCACTGTCTTATCCAGAATCAGACCACCAATACTGGGAAGAACACAACATAGTGTATGTGAATCACATCATTTAAATGAAGCAGACAAAAAGTTTAGAACTTCAGATGAAAGTAACAAAGGCTACGTTGTCGGCCCACCTGCTGATAGACATGGCCAAAATGATTGGTTGCCAGCCTGACTTTAGGATGTCTCTGATTGGTGGAGAGCGACGGGCTATACTGACCCACACTGGGATAAGGAGCAGGAAGAAGCCACACACCAGAGGAGGCAGGTACCACATGTCTGCAGAGCAACATAGTACAGAATAAATCAGTCAGAGGTTTTGATTACATCTTGAAAGAAATTAAAGTTTTTACAGGACGGGTCTTTGAATAAAAATTATGCTTTTGTTTTTTGCTGCTTTTTAAGAGACTGACTAAATGAATAACAAAAACAAGTTTGTGACCGTGACAGGAATGATTAAAGACAACCGGAAGACTTCAAAGACAACTTGACTGCTGCTGTCTGTTGGCAGAACTTTTGCCAGACATAGAAGTGGACTTTGCTGCCCTCTTCTGGCTGAAATGCTCCCTAGTACTGACAGCATGCTGATTGGCAGTTGTGTGACTGTTGTTCTTTTGTTCTTAAGCTCCTTTAAAAACCCTTTTGTATTTAAAAAAACTGAGTTGAATATAGGTTTCAGATTCTTGATCATCTGATGTCCTCACATGTAGAGATTTATTGTGCTTTTCTGAAGTAATCGGTGATCTCTGACCTCTGTAACAGAAGAACAAGCTGCTGACCCCAGCGAGCAAAGACAGAGTGATGAGGTCTCCGAGGCTGGCGGCAATGGGCGTGGCCACATTATCTGGGTTGATGCCCACTTTCCTGGAGCCTATGATCACTGCCACCATCACCAAACCTGACAAATCACAAGCTGAAGTGAAACGACATGCCAAGCTCATAAACCCTACTGCCATCTCCTTGGGATTCTCTGTATCTATTCTACTCATCTCTCTGCATCATTTTGTGCCTATGTCTCACCTAGAGACAGTGCAGCAATGAAAGCAGTGGTGACACTGCTGGCACACAGGACAGCAGCCTGGGCAGCATCCACCCTCCCATTGGTCAGACTCCCAAGTCCCACTGCTGCAACCGCTGCCAGGAAGCCCACTGCTGTGGCTTGGACCTAGGGGTGGAGAACAACGCAAAAGGGCATTTATTTAACTGTTTATAGCTTGTGCTATCTACAGTATACACCTACATGTTATATATGTGTCTGTCTCTGTGTGCCTTCGTGAGCATGAAACTGGTCAAATAGCATTGTAATACTAGCTAGCCATAGTGCTACAACAATTTATGTAGTGTGCTGTGTTTGAGCTGACTGCATGGCTGGCCACATATAAGCTCTTCGTTTCCAGGTACATATTTCCATGTTATTGTTTTGTTATAGAATTTTTCACTATGAAACTCTGCCACTTCATAGGAGACATGCCTGAGTGTGCCATAGCACGTGCAAATCAAACGTATGAGAGACCAGTACAAACAGTTTATGCAATGGCCACTGAGAATTCTGGATTCTGATTGGTTGGAAGATGTGACTTAACTTTCAGTATCCAGATAGTTTAACCGCACACCTATGTCATAGCTGTTTGTTTGCTGTTCTGAGTTCAACTCAAGGTAAAGAGAGCAACAAGCTGAGCCTCAGTTAAAGAGCTGGAGCTAGGGTTGTTTTTGTAACTACCAACCACAACGGGCATAAAAGATAAATGCCACACAAATGTCATTCTAGGTGTGTGTTGTATATGTGAAGTTCAAATCAGCTAATGGTAGTCAGAGGCACAGTGGCTAATGGTTGGCCACAGTAAAGCTGGTAGACTGAGGCTGAGGTACGGCTGCAGTTTTCACACTTCAGGATTTTAAACCTTCTCGCTAAGTCTTGTGAATCTTTCCTGTTCAGCTACAATCTTTGATGGATATGGCCATATGAACAAATAGTAGGGATTTGAAAAATAGTGGTGAAATCAGTGAGTCACATAAAGATCCCAGTTTTCCAGCAGAGACAGACCTAAGTGATTGTGCTGAGTGTGTTATTAATAGGATGGGGAGTGTAGAGTGGAGCAGTGTGTCACCTGAATGAGAGCCAGATTACAGAACACCAT